CAATTATAACTGTACCTACAATTAGTTCGCTCTCTTTTATTAATACAAATTTGAGTTTGAATTGTTGTTTTTTCACTTATCAGAAGGAGGTACTTCATGAATATGTTTGATGTCTTGTGTTCTCCAGTTTGTTCCTCATTTATTACTGTCTCTAAATTTTTAATAATGATTTATTTCATCTTCTTTCAGGGTTTTCTATAGTTATATCTTCAACTTGACCAAATTAGTCTGTTTCTCAACTTGAACAAATTAATGCATGAAGTTTGTAAACACTGCCATTTTCTTTTGCAATATCTTTGAAAGAACTCCTGTTATGTACTAGTTCACAGAGTGGGGATGAGGAAGATGAGCATCCAGTCTTTTCTGAGAGAACTACTCACTCCAGTTTAGCTGAAGCTTGTAAATTTGTTTGCAATGATGCCAAGTTTGTAAATGAGAGGGCTCGCAATGACATTATTCTGCTTTCTCGGTAATTTTCCATAAACTGCTTTTTGTCCCCCTAGAGGAGATTGCAAATTGATCATAAATCCACCTTTCTTGGTCTTTATTGTTTATTTTCAAGAACTAATCTTGCATTGTCAAATTACAATTAGTTTTAGGAATCTTAAAAGTACTTAGGACCCGTGTGCAAAATTTGTAACACCATGTTTCTGGCTTTTTTCTGTAGATTATGCATTATAAAGTCAGGTACAAGAGAAAAAAGATGTAAACATGCAGTTGCAACTTGCATGTGGTAGTTTTTGTTAATTTATCAAGATAGTCATCTAATTCGTGGTTTGAAATAAATTGAAATGTTCATACATATAGATCACTGCTCATGTTTTGCCACTTCTTGTCAGTGGCATAATGAGGTTGGATGCCCGTGCACGTCAAGACGTTGCTATTCTTGGGTCCGGGTTTCTTAAGCTTAATGGTAAAACTCTTTCACCTTTTTGTTCAGTGCAGAGCTTTTCTATAGCAGCTTTAAAAATTATATTTATTCTTGAATGCACTTACATGAATTTATTCTTTATTGAATTACAAAAATGTAGAATGAATATGGTGTTTGGTTCCATTCTTTTGGTTGCCTAACATGCAGCCATCTTTCTCATTCTTTTGGTTGCCTAGAATGAATTTATTCTTTATAGAATTACAAAAACTGTAGAATGAATATGGTGTTTGGTTCCATTCTTTTGATTTCCTTATCCTGACCTTCTGCTCTGTAGCTCGAGCACGAGAGGATACAGAGAAAATTGACCGTAATGTGAAGAAGAAAGCTGAGCGCCTTCATCATATTGCTATGGTTTGTGTTTTATTTGTTTTTTTTTTTGGGGGGTCAAAATTTTATTTGTTTGTCTTGGAGGTGAGGACACTTTTTACCTGGCTTTCACATTAATATTTGATAACTAACCATCCTCCACAGATCTTAAAAGACAAAGCAGAGTCTAGATTGAAAACTGCCGCTGATAAGCATTGGAGTGACGGAGCCTTAGAGGTACATTAAAAAAGCAGAGACAAAAAAATAGTTCGGTTCTATCTGTTGTTTGTTGCAATGTAGTATGTTCTTAAAACATAGAAATTTTGAATAAAACTTTAAAGAAATCTAAATAATACAATAGTGCATCAATTAACCATGTGAACTTCGTAAAATAGTGTATTTACAATGAGTAGACAACATATACGGTGAAAACAGTGGTCTGCTTGATGTTGTCTTGATGAATCAGTTAAAACTGCACTAATGCACTAAAGTACACATTCTTGATGCTGTATTTTGATTCATTTTAGGCTGATTTGCGCCGTGCTGACTTCCGTGCCAAACAACGTGCAATGGAAGATGCCCTAATGGCTTTGGAGGTGAACTTCATTTGCTTTGCGATACTCTTCAAGGATACTTGTTGGAGATCATCTTCCTAGTTAATCATGTCCAGCTATAGTTTTCCATGGTCTCTGATCCTTTTTCATATTGTTTTGCAGTTTGTCAAAAATATTCATGACCGGATGGTGAGCAAAATGTACAATTTGTAAGTTTCTTTTGTGATTGTTAACTTCCTTATTCATTTGATCTTTGATCTCCTCTATTAGTTGTGTATCTACCTTTGAAACATAATATCTGACATGCTCATATGCAGTCCTCTGCATAGCGAAAATGGTATTGTATCAGAAAATGACATGCTGGGGCGCATAATGCTTGAAAAGAATGGCAAAAGTCTTGATTTCCCTTTTGGTGAAGTATCTACTGATCGCATTACTGCAATTCAGGTCCCTATTTCCTGGCTATCTCGAGTTCTCTTTCTTCCTTACTTTCTTGCGATTCAGGACATTGATAATCATATAAATGGTGTACAGGAAGCTTACTGGAGTATGGCATCTGCTCTCTCTGAAGCTGATGGAATTGACTATACTGATCCTGAAGAGGTTCATATCTCTATGTATTTACGTTCCTAATCTGGTCGAGCAATTAATGTTAGTTTGGTTGTGGGGTCCTTCTTTTAACTAATCTTTTGTATCTCGAGCAGCTTGAGCTGTTAATTGCAACTCTTATTGATCTCGACGCAATGGATGGTAAAAGTAGTGTATCGTTATTGGCAGAGTGTTCAAATTCTCCTGATGTCAATACCAGGTAAGTTATGCAAGCATTGGTTCTGTATCTTATAGTCCCCCAAAACAATGTTGGCCCCCTCTTAAGCTATGAGTTTGGTCTTTATGGTTCTGAAACAAAGATGTCAAAAGTACAAAGCCAAATGTAATATGCTTTAGTCTTCCAACCAACGAGCATGTACAAGGCTCATGAAACCTCTTGTATCATAGAAGAAGAGGGTAAAAAGAAACCTCTCAAATTCTAAAGATTTAGTGACATAGGCCATTGACAAGGAACCCTGCATGAATTATGAATTTTAAATCCCTCATTGCTCTTTACTAACATTACTTATATTGTATATCATCCACTCTTCCCGGTTTGTTTTTTGTTGTATAGGAAAGCCTTAGCCAATGCCTTGGCTGCAGCCCCATCGATGTGGACTCTTGGAAATGCAGGAATGGGAGCACTACAGGTTACTTGGTCATTACATAATGGTAATCATCATTCTTTGCCATAATGATGCCAGAAACTTACGTCTATCATTTTCCTTGCAGAGACTCGCGGAGGATAGCAATCCGGCAATTGCTGCCGCTGCCTCTAAAGCAATCTTTGAACTTAAGAGACAATGGGAGATAGAGGAAGGAGATAGCTGGAGGTTTACGATGAACCAAAACCCCATTGAAGAATGGGAAACCAAAGAAGCTGATGACAATGAAGATACAGATTGACGTATTAAGACAACTGTAGTGTAGGTATTCACATGGAGGGTTAAAAATTAGTTGTAGGATATAGACCCTCACTAATTACCATAAAGTGATCAAAATTCTGTAAATAAAAGGCTAGATTTTTTGTTATTATTGAAATATATGTCAAATCATTTGCAAAAACCATGCTTTGATAATCTACGGGATTCAAACTTGGGACATGGTGATTAGTTACAAATCCTATAATGTTATCGAGTCATATTCGAATCGCTTCGTTTTCGTTTGTGTCAAATGCTAGTCAAGTTCAATAACTGATTTGATTAACTACGGCAGATGACTGGTTTGCAAATGCTTGAACCATGATAAAAGGAAAATTTGTTTCAATCATTTTATTGGTGCCAGTTAGTTTGGTTATAGGTTAAAATTCCGTTTTTACAACATGCTACCAAATTGAACCATATCTGTTCTAGAAACTGAAATACAAGAAGCGATCATCATCAGGGTCCACTTAATATTGGTGAGTTGCACATGAATTGCATCTCGACAGATTTTAATTCAAGAGACTAGACGACCCCATAACATCATTTTAGTCCCTCCCAACTTTAGTCTGTCCTCTGTCTAAGTTCACACCATTATCCAATGTTTGCCTTTGTGATTGGAATTTGCATGAGCAATTTAAACGCATGTGGGGCTACTATTTTTTTAGTTCTTGTTAAACACTATTCTTTTTTATGTTTTTTGTTTTTTTTGTTTTTTGGCTGTCAAAGTTAGGAAGAGAGAGGTTGGTTTTCTCACACATGCACTGTTAAGATGTTATGGGGTTCGAATCTAAGACCAATGGTTTGGAAGTCGATGCTATTTTTTATTGTGCTAGACCCCGCTCGCCTTTATTAGGGGTGTTTGGTAACTCTGACTTTTTCTTTTTGACTTTAAAAAAAAAAAGTATTTATGGGCTTTGTTTTGTTTTTGTAACAGTACCCTTAAATATTTCAAAAAAGCATTGGTTTGGTATGCTTTAGTTAGAATCTTTGATTATATTTATTAGGTGCCTCAAGACCCATGAGTGAGCTTTTCAAAAGTTAAAGGAGCATAGAGGCCCGCCAGGGAGCAAAAGCAGGGAGGGAGACCATAGCCCACAAACATTATTAAGCAACTTTATTCACACAAAGGCTCTTCAATCACTGTCAGAATCCCCAATTTGATCCACTCCCTGCCCTTTTTTTCCACTAACCTTTTTCTTTCTTCATAGCTTTTCCATCATGCCTGCCACTGTTGACAACCCATGTTTCATCATTCCCTGCCTGTCACTTTAATTTCAATATAAGAATCCCAAGTAGCATATAGTTTATATTAGTGGTATATCTAAGTATAATCAACAAGTTGAAAACTAAGAAAACTATTAAAGAATAATTTGAATTTAGTGATCATCACTTGAAACTTGAAAGCTTAAATTGGAGGTGCAGGGGGGTCTGATTATGAGTATTAGATATAGCATGTACTTCCGTATACAGCGGTAATACAGTTTTAACAAACATTCAGAACCAATTACCTCTTTGTTTAGTGGTATTTCTCTTATTAAAGTTGGAAGAGGTTTCAAGTCGAATTCAATTCTCTCATTAATTAAAAAAAGTTAAAAAAGGTCTTTAACCAATGTTACCACGTTCTTCCCAAGACAATATTTGGCATGTACATTATAATATACTACTGTTAAAACAATGTACAACAAACTGGGAAGCATCTCTGCTTCTCTTGCAACAGCTAAGTCTTGTTCTGTCTAAACTTGAAAAGCATTCCTCTCTCTCTCTCTCTCTCTCTCTCTCTCTCTCTCTCTACATCCATGGCTCCCAACAAGTTTGCAACCAGGTTGCATAGAAGCGTTCCCAAGTTCATTGTAATTCTAGTGTATGCTGTCCTTGAATGGACTTTGATAACGCTCCTCCTCCTCAACTCTTTGTTCAGTTACTTGATCACAAAATTTTCCAAGTACTTTGGCCTCAAACCACCTTGCCCATTGTGTACTTGTAGAATTGAGCACATCTTGGAACGAGGCAAGAGCTCAAAGTCTTACGCAGATGATGTATGTGAGAGTCATGCCACTGAGATATCATACATGTGCTACTGTTTGAATCATAAAAAACTGGCCAAATCACATAATATGTGTGGCAACTGCTTGGCTTCTCAACCAAATTTTAGAAGAAATTCTACTGGAATGCCAACAAGTATGGCTTTCGTTTCGTGGTTGAGTGAGAACAAGCTTGAAAAAGAAGAGAAATTACCTTGTGTATGTTCTTGCTGCAGTGAGAGCTTGAACAGCAAGTTCTACTCTCCTTCTTCGCCGTTTGAGCCGTCTTGGGGTTCCTTGGAGTATGCCAAGAAAGGAAATTCAACTATAGAATACCAAGGCACAATCAAACCTGATAGCCTGTCAACCCACAGTGACAATGGCTATGAGATGGAAACAACTAATGAAGAACATGAGGATGATAGAGTGGCAGATGAACATCAATTCTCATCTGATGTTTGTAGTTCTAGCTTCAGAGGCAATGCAGGGGAAGATTGTCCAAGGTCTAGATCGACGTTTCTATGTCATGAAACGGACGCGAATGCAAATAACAAAGCAGGTTCTCGTGACATTATACGGTCAGATTTTAACAGCATGAAGCTTGTCCATCAATCCTCTGATGCTAGTGCTACTACCATCCAGTGTTGCTTTGGAGAAGATTACTCTCTTGAAATTATACCCCTGCCTTCCGAAAATGGTATGGTTTGTGCTCTCAATCATCGGTTGATTCCCATTGAGTTGATTGATTTTTCAACAAGAATAGACCAAGGAATCCGCAATGCAAAAGAGGAAGATGTGAGAGAGCATGATCATCAAGAAGGACGTTTTGATTCTGAGCCAAGTATTGGATCGCGACATCAATTCTCGGGAGAAGCAGCGTTGTTCATGATAAACAAGAGTTCACTGAAGACAAGTAATGGGGATCTTGAAAGCCTGGAGAAGGCCAGGGGTTTTAGTGATAATTCTTCTGTTGTAGATGCAGAAGAGGGAAAACAAGATTTGGTTGGCATGCCATCTGATCAAGTTGTCACTGCTCCAGGAGGTCAAAAATTATTTGTTCACATTGAAGAGCCGGATAAGAAGGAACCAAATGATCCACCAGGTACAGAGAAATTGCAATTATTCATGACATTTATTCACTGCAATCTATTTCTCTTCCCGGACCATGATGGCCTATTCTAACTATGTTTCTTAATGAAAGCAGCATCTGAAGAAGAAAGTACTTTTGTTGATCACGTTCTATCAAGAAGTTTGGCAAATATGGAAGTGTCTGACCATGCAACTGATCAGCCTCAAGCTCGAGAAGGTTCTTCTTCGCCATGCTTCGAAATTCCCAATGTACCTGACACATTCTTGGCTCAGAATGATAATGGTAAATCTCAAGTTCATTCTTTCCTCTACCTACAGACAAAAATCCATTTGAGGGAACACATAGTACTGTAAGTAGTGTAATTATCAAGAGCTGGCTTTTAAAATATATTTTGTTTTGACAGGTATATGGCATGAAGAAAGAGCTACATTGCAAGAGGAAACAAGTATGCTTGAAAAGGCTCAAGAAGAAATAAATCATTCATGCATGTGTTCAGAGCCTAATGAACCAGAGGAAGAGAATTTTCCTGCCACACCAACTTCTGTAAACAGTCTTGGTTACTTGCACAAGAAACTAGATGAAAAAAAGGAATCAGCAGTAGAAGAGTATTTAGATGGAAGTGTGGTAAGTGAGATGGAAGCTGGGGATCCTGTTGCAACCATTGGACGGCTCAAAGCAGCACTGACAGCTGAACGTAAAGCTTTAAGTTCTTTATATGCAGAACTAGAGGAAGAGAGGAGTGCGTCTGCAATTGCTGCCAACCAGACTATGGCTATGATAACAAGGCTTCAGGAAGAGAAGGCAGCAATGCAAATGGAGGCATTGCAATACCAGAGGATGATGGAAGAACAATCTGAGTATGATCAGGATGCCTTACAACTTTTGAATGAGTTGATGAACAAAAAGGAGAAGGAAAAGCAAGAACTAGAGAAAGAAGTGGAAGTTTATCAAAAGAAAGTCCTAGATTATGAGGAAAAAGAGAAGATGAGGACTGTGAGCAGAATTAAATATGGAAGTGTAAGAAGTAGAAACTCTTCTGCTTCTTGCAGCCATTCATGGGATAGTGATGCCCTATCGATTGATCTTAATTCTCAAGCAAGGGATGAAGATAATGGCTTCGGTGGCCAACAAGAAATTAGTAACCACAATACTACAGATGATGCAGCTCTAAGTTTGGAAGAAATAGCTTTGGATTGTGTTAAAAATATGAGTGTTCTTGATGAATCACTAGCAGGCTTCGAGGAAGAGAGGCTGTCCATTCTTGATCAGCTCAAAGCATTGGAGGAGAAGCTAATCACATTGGGTGAAAATGAGGAATTCTCCGAGGATGTTAAATCAATTGAGCATTCCTCAACGTGTAGTGTCAAAGACTTTGAAGAGAATCATGATTTTAGTAGTCCAGAAGAAAATGGGGTATCGAATGGATTTTCTAAGGATCAACACCATCCTGAGAGACAAACGTTGGGTTCCATGGCAAAGAGGCTTCTTCCACTTTTGGATGCAACTGACAATGAAACTGAGGAAGGGTTGATGCATGAAGAACAAGCTGAATCTGAATCTACTGGAATGCAGAATTCATTTACCAGTTTTGAATTGCATGATAACAAAATAGCCATTGAAGAGGAGGTGGATCATGTTTATGAGAGGCTACAAGCTCTTGAAGCAGACAGGGAGTTTCTAAAGCATTGTATGGGCTCCATAAAGAAGGGTGACAAGGGAGTGGATCTTCTCCAAGAGATCCTGCAACATCTCAAGGATTTGAGGGTCGTTGAACTCCGTGTAAAGAACCTGAATGATCCTGAGGGTGAAGTTGCACTTGATTGATACAATGAGAAGCTAAGAGGTACAGATTCTGATTCCAACTTTGTACAGCAAAAATTAATTTGGAGAAAAATATTCACAAAGTTCACAACTCAATTTTACTATTTACGAAGAACTAAAACAAGGTTGGAGGCACACATACCACTCTAACACATAAGACTGCTCTTCTCAAGCCAAAACCCTCCATAACATATAGCATATTCAAGTAGATCAATTCTAAACAGACAAAACCTTTGGTGTTTTGCACTTACAGTGGACCAACTAACAAATAAAATAACACAACCTAGTTAGAAAAATAAAATAAATTTAGTTAAATTTCTACATTCATTCTAATCTATAGGATTAGGATAAAAAAGCGTGCATGTATTTTTGTCACTTCCAAAAACAAAAATGTTAAGGCTGGTTTGATAACCATTTCAATTTTAGTTTTTAGTTTTTAGTTTTCATTTTTGGTGCTAGTATACAGAGGAAAATGAGAGTGATAATGGGAGTGAGTATGAGATTGAGAGAGAGGATGAGAGGGGAGGATTGGAGCCGCCCGGGGGGTGGGGTCAGTAACAAAAGTGAAAACAATTTCAAATAGATTTCAGTTTTTAGTTTTAGTTTTTACTTTTGTTACTCCTCCCTCTCATCCTCCCCTCTCATCTTCCCTCTAAATCTCATCTCCACTCTCATTCTCACTTCCATTCTCCCTCTTGTTTCTCTATACTTTAGCACAAAAAATGAAAATTAAAAACTAAAATTGAAATGGTTATCCAACGGCCCTAAAATAATAAATCAGTTTGATGATTGCAGATTGCAGATTGCACACCTGGTGATCAGAATGTCTACAGCAACAGATATGTGAGTGATGAAGAATCCACATTTTGTTTAAATACTGTTGAACAAAAATTGTGGGATGAGGGGAAGATCTCTTAATGGAGGGGAGAGATTCCTAGTATTGTTTGTTCCACTTGGGTTTGGTGTAAGAATAATGCCATGCCCAAAATTTTGCAGCAGCTCTTCATTACTGCGGTTACCTGGCACAGGTGAATGGTGAAGAGGAGCATATTATTCTGAGTCTGTTGGTTAGGCAATTACTTCTGATTTTCTCATGCTTTGTCTTAGCTCTTTTTTATTTTTGGGTGGGGGAAGAGGATGTGTAACTCTTAATCTGCCTGTCATATTATCATCAGCCTTTTCAACTCAAAGCAGGACGAGTCTTTGTAAACAACATATATGGTCCTATACTATAGTGTCTGTCATTGGTTTTGGCAGTTGTTTTAATTTCAACCAAAAAAAAACTTGTATTACAAAGGAATCTTTCAAGCCAACAAGGTCTAGCTGAGTGAAAAAGAGCATTGATTTGCAAACCAGTAGTCTTAGATTCAAACCGTCATGGCACCTTGGTAGTGTGTGTGAGAAATCCCCTCCCCTCATAATTTAGAATATCACTTCTATTTTTTTAAAAAAAAATCTTTTATTACTTAGCTCGGTTTTGTTTCTGAGTCCTCGTATTGCCACCCCAAATGTATTTATTCACCCACCTTATTTTTCAGCTTTATTAATTTTTAGGCTTAAATGTCAAAATAGTCCTTATGTTTTATTGTGTTGGCCAATTTAGACCATATGTTTTTAATTTGACCAATTTAATCCCTGTATTTAGCACCGTTAGCTAATGTGATTCAATTCATTAATTTGATGTTAAAAAAATTTAAAAACTAATATAATAATTGAATTGAATTTAAAAATATATAAATAAGCACTAAAAAAATAAACATGAGATCCAAAAACAAAAACTAAAAACTAAAAACTAAAAACTAAAAATTTAAAAACAAGGCACCACCATCCAATCCCAGCTACCTCCCCCTACTTGCCCATCCTAGAAGCCACCACCACCATCAAAATGCTATCACACACAAAATTGTGGATTCTCAATTTCCCTTCTTTGAATGAATTGTCAATCTTGGTTTGCTGTGGGGAAGGTTTTGAGCTAGCTGTTGATGCCAATACAAAATATGGCCGATGCAATGAGGATTCTAATGCATAATTGGGTTTGGAAAGTCTTTGTTTATCTGGAATTGGAGCTGGTGATTGGGGCTTGGGTTGGCTTTGGAGAAGCTGTAGAAAGCTGAAGAAATTGTAGCTTACGAGCTGTGACGGGATTGGTGAAGAGGATCATTTTTTGTCCTTTGCTATTTTTTAATGAAGTTTCAATATTTTTAAGTTAATTCTTAAAAAAATAATAATAATAAAAGGGTTTTCGGTTTTTAAGAGACAAAAAAAAGGTTTATAATGTAAATTTAATGGATTGGACCACATTGGATAACTATTCTAAACACAAGGACTAAATTGACTAAATTGAAAACACATGAATTAAATTGGCCAACACGGTAAAATATAGGGACTCTTTTGACATTTAAGCCTAATTTTTATGATTGAAAAAAAGAATGAAAAACTTCACATATCTCCATTAATTAGAGAACTCTCTCTCTCTCTCTCTCTCTCTCTCTCTCTCTATATATATATATATATATATTCTATTGAGGGACACCCTGTAGGACTCCCTATGAAATTTTTTTCAACGATCGAAACCATCTATTTTTCACATCTTCATTTAGAGATCATTGCAAAAAATATGCAAATTGAAAATCATTAAGGCATCTAATTGAGACCAACAAAATCAATAAACACAGTGCTTCAAGAAAGTACTTGAATTTCAATAATTTATTTGAGTGGTCAAATGATTCAAGTGATTTTTTGTAGAGATGATCTTTGAATGAATATATACAAAATAGATGGTTTGGATTATCGACGTACAATGCGGAGTGAGCTCTATATATATACAGAAAGCTTTTATTGAGGGACATCCTTGTAGGGCCCACTCCACTTTGTATTTCGCTTATCCAAACCATCTATTTTGTATATATTCATTCAAAGATCATCTCTAGATAACAAAAAAAAAAAACAAAACAAAAACAAAACAAAACAAAACAAAATTCATTTGAATCCGATATCATTTGACCACTCAATTAAATTATTGAAATTCAAGTACTTTCTTGAAGCACCGTATTCATTGATTTTGTTGGTCTCATTTAGATGCCTGAATGATTTTCAATTCGCATTATTTTTTGCAAGGATGATCTATGAATGAAAATGTGAAAAATAAATGGTTTGGATTGTTGAAAAAAATTTCGTGTGTGTGTGTATATATATACATAGAGTTTCAATTTATGGATCTTTTAAATAAGCTTATTTGAGGGACACTCTTATACGGCCCACTCCGTATTTCACTAATCTAAACCATCTATTTTATAGATAGTCATTCATAGATCATATCTACAAAAATCACTTGAATAAGATATCATTGACCACTAAATTAAATTATTAAAACTTTAATACTTTCTTGAAGAACCGTGTTCATTGATTTTATGAGACACAATTAGATGTCAAAACGGTTTTCAATTTGTGTAATTTTTTTTTACAAGGATGATATATATGCATGTAGACTTAAAATATAGATGATTCGGATCGTTGAAAATAAAATTGTAGTTCGCCCTAAAGGGTGTCCCTCAAATAAAATTATTTTGAGCATTACCTTAATAAAATGGGACTATATATATATGAATAGATGCAACCAACTAAGAGAAAAATATGATGCATTATCAAGACTAGCCCCTTGGCACACATGTGAGTGTATGCCAATTGATTTTTTTTTTCCTTTAGAATTAAGAAAGAGAATCCAACTAAAAAAAAATAAGAGAAGTTGTGTCGTATAAAAATAAGACCTATGTTCTTATTTAAAAAAAATATATTAATATGAAAAATTGTTAATTTATTATATTATTCTTATTTATTAAGATTTTCAGTGCTATATATATATATATATATATATATATTTGTCTTTCCTAGATGTTAGGACTCTCGGAATAAATTCCTATTTCAAAGTCACATAACCAACCAAGGGAAAATAGACGCAGAAAACAACAATTAAGCCAAGATAAGACACTTTGAAGCATCTCGTGAAGTAGAGAAACTCTAGTCTATTCTCTCTATAATAAAAAAAACACTCCTAAAGCCATTTTTACTTTGAGGAGGGAGGAAGCCATTGTTCTCCCTCCCCTCTCCTATCTTCATTTCCTCCCTTCTTCTTTTTCCCTATTTTCAAAGACAGAGGGTTTCCCCTCTTTGTCTTTGTTTTGTTATGATTTTCCTCCAACCATCACATGTTGTTGCATTTCAACGTCAGATCTCCACATGCGTTTTAGCGTCGGATCTTCACTCCACCACCATCCTTTTTGCGGTTTCTTTATGTTTAGAATAATTCACAGAGGCTCTTTGGATTCTTTGTGTAGTTTTCACCTCTCCTTTTGTGAGAGCTTTTCACTTCTCTTTTGTGAGCATGGAAATTAGAAGGTTTTCCACCCATTGCCATGACAACCCAAGGGCAACCACTATTCACATGAGATATGAGGAGATGAATTTGTATAGAGTTTTGGTGTGAGAAGTGAAGAATATGATTAGGTATTTATAAATTAAAAAAATTCTAAAAATTTTGGTTTTTTTTTTTTTTCAATTTTTTTGTTATTTAAATTGGCTGTTGACATCACAATAAGGTCAATATTAAGTCATCTTATCCAAGCAGCAGCCCAGACAAGTCTTGCCTTGGGCCTTGCTCGAATTGGAGAAGCCCAGCGCTTGCCCTGGCAAGCCTTGGCAGCTAGAAATGGAATTGGGGGCCTAGGGGGCCTCTTGACCGAACTAGCCCCTCCCGCTAGAATTGCTCTGAAAGGAGCCACGAACAGAATCTATAAACTAAGCCAAAGCAAGCAAGTGGAAAGGCTAACTTTGTACAAAGTAAAGATAAGAACATTAGTTTGGTGGTCCAGGAAGGCCATCTGGTTCCAACACTCCCTGATTTGACGGTGGTGGCCTTTCAGCCCAACAAACTTGCGCCACCGCTTTCATGCCAATACTAGCCGCTACGTGAGCCGCTTTGTTCATACTTCGAGGAATCCAACTCCATTTGATACTCGGGAGACTGTTGGCAAGCTTTCTAATTTCCAGAATAATGGGAAGGATAGTTGTTTATACTTTTTTTCTTCTTCTTTTTTTGGTCAGAATAGTTGTTTTTTTTTTATAGTCAGAATAGTTGTTGATACTTCAAAGCAGATCATACGTTTTTGAACACATGATATGATAGTTGTTGTATATTTATTACATTCATTATATCAACTGTAATTTCATACATTTAATTGTTATTTAATACGATAAATTATGTGGTCTTTCTTCTTATTGACAATTATATATGTGATAAATTTAGTGTATAAATTCTAAAGAGTGACCTAACTTCGAAGAATTACTAGAATGCTGTTGAGACCCAAAAAATTCACGATTCAGCCCAAATAAATTCTCGGTCCAATGCGATACCTTATCAAGAAGAAACCCAATTTGGGCACCCGAAAGTTTGTCATATACGCTTTGCACACATGCCAAGCCAAACAAATAAGCATCATGTCACGCTACAAGCTTAAGTGGGCCCAAGTCACGCAAGATGCCCGGGACTTGCTTGAGTGGGTTGTGGTATGGATGGTAATAAATTGTCATAAGGCCCATTGATGGGCCGAGAAATAAGTCCCGGGTTGCTTGGGAGCCTCGGGACTCAAGCTCATTTCATAGGCCCAAACATGTGGGTAAGCACAAGAGAAAAAAGAATAGCCCATCACTCCAAAGAAAAATAGCCCAACCAAAATAGCCTATTGACTCAACCAAAAAACCCAAATATTTGATAAAGAAAGCTCACTTACTCAATAAATCAACTTGGCCCATACAATTACAATAGAATAGTTGCAAAGCTCCAGCATTTGGCTGAAGAATAAAGCCATGAAGGAAAGTTTGAAAAGCTATTGGGAAGCTCCAACACATGGGAGGAACAAGTTTCAAGCAAAAACGTCCAAATGACCAAGGGATATTGGAGCGCAGATCACCCTTTGAACCAGCATGCATACCCATTATCTTTCCCTCATCAAACCTGGCCATAAAAAAAAAAGGAAGAAAGGAAAAGAAGGAAATAGCTGAAAATGGGAGTTCTGAGGCAGCTGTGGGAAAGGGCTTTGAGCACCCAAAATCCCTAATTTTATGCAAATGGGCAAAGGAAATTTCACCAAAATAGGATGATTGAAGGGATGAAGGGAGAAAGGAAGAGAAAGACTTGGCCAAATTGAATAGAATCCA